CTAAAAATAATAATAGATTTTTAAAATCTATGGTTGTTTTCTCCAACGATTAGTTTTGCTGTGTAGGAATTCATAATAGAAAATTTCAATTAGGCTTGCTATTTATTAACAATGGCTAAGATAACTGACTCACTTAGATTGGAATACGACAAAGCTATTTCCGATAAAAAACCTCAATCTTCTCAAATTTAGTTTGAATGACTAGTTTCTCTTGACTTTCAGGTAAATGTCTCATTTGGTTTGGGCCAATGACTTATGTTTGCTTGCTTGTTGATATCTTATCATCTACCACATAATTGCTATTCTAAACAATGGTTTTTCTCTGTCAATTCAAAAATGGGTTTCATATCCAATCTTCAGTATCTTCGTCACGAGCTGGTATAGAGCTATTGATTATGATGTGGTCGCTTCGGTCACCGTTTCAGGTATTTCGTTAATGATAAAGGGGTTTGAATTAATCATAATTTGTGAGTGACACAATTCATTTCTTTACTCAACACAATCAACACGAAAATAGGGGACAGATTTTATAATGTTGTCTTCATACATGCATCAGTTGTGTGGCTGAATGGAATACATATGTTGATTTAAGTACCATGATGAACTAACTGTTACGCCTTCATAGATCGAGTCTTTCATTGATTTGTCTTCGCGTGGCTAATGTGGTTAATTACTGAAATGTATAATTATTACTTTCGCTTTCTGACTATTTTGCTTTATTATTACTTAAAGGATCACTGATATCGTACTTGGTAAATGACCCGATGTATTATTTATTTACAATATCTGAATTTGGTTTGAATTATCTGATTATTTGATTCAGAATTCTCATCTAAAATCTTTCTAGATCGTCAGTGTCATGCAATTTCCCCGAACTAAGACATGGATCTGGCCTAGTGTAGGACACTAGGTATAATTCACCTGCTTAACTATGATATCCAGAGTAAGTAGAAATCGATTTGACAATTAGGGATACGTAAAACTGTTTAATTTTTACTTCGTTAGACATGAATGGGTCATTATATAAATCAGAAATAATTTTGTGTACACAATCAGAAGTATTGTATTTTGTAGTTCAAAATCATACGTGGGAAAATGCTCAGACGATCTGCTACTGTGAACGTAAACGACATTGACTCATGTGATCTGACACTGAAGTCACGACAGTGTTTATCAATGCCTTCACTAACTTGCTCACCGGACTGTCTTGCTTCTTAAGAATCTTTTAAGCACAAGTTTGATGATGAACATACTGTAAACATTAACGGGAAACATGATGTGACCACTATTTGGATTTCCAAGCAATAGGGAGTCCATGAATAACAAATTATCGACCCAAATTGTACCTCAATATCCTTTGTCAACCATTCAACGCACAGTTGTATTTCAAGGTATAGAATATTTAGCTCAAGGGAAATTGACCTAGAATCCATTACTATCCCAATGTTAGTGTATTGGTTGAAGACTATATTCATTTCAGGGAGGATCCAATGTCAAATAACACTTGATTTTGAAGTTGAAACTGTAGGATCTCTCGAATGGTAATTTAAAGTATTCTTTGGATAAATTATACTCTTCTTGGAAACAAGATATCCTATTCATTTGGTATTGTTTGGCTTGTATCTTTCTATTGAGGTTTTAAGACTACAATTGGTCAGTCTGTTATTGGCATATGTGCATACTGTGCGCATGCCTCGATATTACCTTAATTCACAAGCTATTTGTAAGCAATAATGGATAATGGCTAGCAGTGGAATCCAGGACGCGCGTTTCGTCCTATTTCGCACTCGTCAGTTGGATGTACCTGCATCCCAAAGTTGGTGTTCGCTCTGGATCTCGAACCCAGTACTGTTCACTTCAAACGCCATCGTGTCATCCACTCAGCTACTGAGTCCTGACAGTCACTTGCTATATATCCCATATTTGAACAAAACTTTCCTTAATTTGTGTAGTCATCAAGCATTTACGAAGCCTGTTAGAAGATTAGGGATCAGTGGTTTCCCGAGATCATGCACTAAGAAACTACGGCAATAATTATATTCTGTAGAAAAACCCAACATCTTCATTTAACATTAGAATTAGTTAGTAGTTTATGTGATGATAAAGATAAAAACAGTTGGGTGGCAGGAGCGTTTTTTCCATTAGAAATCAATACGATTCAACAATCAACTTTAAGTTCGAAAGACTTAGTAGATCGAAATAAACAAGAATAAATGTTATATTATTCAGTTTTAGGTAGAGTCTATAGTCTTAAACTGAACGACATCTATAATAGCAGTATTTCCATTAGATCTCCCCTATAAGCTTATTACATTTCTATGCAAAGCAATAAATTCACTCGTTTATATCATTGATTAGACTAATCGTCAAGATAAATCTCTACGATACCATTGATAGGTCGACTGTATAACTATCAGTTAAGATTAATTAATTAAGTTGCATTATGGTCAGAAATTGAAAAAACCATATGATTCTATATCATGTTTATGAATAATGATAATGGTAAAATGTGAATAAGGTGAGGTGATAAGTCAGCTGAACAAAAAACAATCATTGATAATTCTCATGAGTAACGGTCTTATTAACGTGATACTCTCAATTTTGAAACTGTTTTCATATTGAGTAATCCTAAAGTGTTAGTTACTACTTTGAAGAATGTTTTGAGTAGTGTTTGTTGAAATGAGAAATTGATGTTTCAGTTAGTAACAATTAATCACTGGTTCAATAATGTCAATAATCGGAAAGTCACATTATCCAATATGTAAATGAGAAGTAGTTATGGTACTGTGATGTATATATATATATATATCATATGATGATATGAATCAGAACATTACAATTATAAATAAATTACATAAGTGAACCTCTGAAATTCACAGAGTGAAGTATAAGCTCTCGAAGATTCTGTTTGCTTGTTTGGTCTTAGCTTTGTTGTTTCAGTCAAGTGATAAATGGGATTAAAGTTTTTTGAGTCATTTCGGTTCATAGTATTGTCAAATGATGAGAGGAATCTTGTAAATGTTAGTGTTGTCCGATCATAATCTGAAGAGTTTTGTTTCAGAAATATCATTGCTTAAAAAATCACAAAAAAGTATTCAACTAAGTTGAATTCATTGTGAAATTGATGAATGTATTTGCTGTACTTGGAATAGTCACTAATTGGTTCTCGGATTAAAGAAGATAAATAGTAATCTAAAACGTGACTTTGTCCACCGATTCGCAATCTCGTAATTAAGTTTTAATTGAAATCATGAACCGGTCTGTGTCAGACTATCGTTGAAAACCTGGAGGCACTGGACGATCGTTTCGGCTTTGTATTGGACTCCTTAGCGGTGCGCATCCACGATCTCGAAAGTGGGACTCACACACAGGACATTCGAACCCGCGCGAATGCTTAAAATCATGACCACTGGTCCGGGATCAAAATGTACAGAACTTTAATTTCAACCAATTCATGAAACCATCTACTTTCTTTAGTGTGTAACTGTTCAGTGCTTCTAGGTTTACCAAGGTGGTCTATCTTCAATTGACTCATGAATTCAACTGTTAAAAATTACTAAAATATCCACAAAATCCCTCTCTGATTAAAATCTATGTCCGTAAACAGTAATACGTAATCTAACCGTTGAATTCATAAGTCGATTTACGGTAGACCACCAATGAAAACCTGTCAGCACTAGACGTCTATTTCTTGTTAGTATAGGACTCCTCAGTAAGGAGCATTTTAGTGAAGACGTGACCAGTGGAGTCCGATCCGTGTCGACTGCGAGATAGTTATCCACCTCAGATAAATGGTCGCCAAAGATCATGGATTGATTGAAATTATAAATAACATCATTGGATGCCGGTTCAGTGGTCATTCATAGTTTAGATGCAAACCCATGTTCCTCTTGGAACTTTTTAGGGTATCCATACGTACGTAGTAAATTATGAATAAGTTTTCGGACATTTTTTCCCATTGTGATAGAAATTGCCCAGTGAACCCTTGTAACTCTTTTCAGTAGGCTCTTATCTTCGCTATTGTTTTTTGTAAGCACAAATGTATCATTCATATAGCAACAAGAAATTCTCATTTGCCTATTACATCTTTCAGGGTCCATTTTCTAATTGCTCTAGAAGGAGATCAGCTAGGATGTGTCCTTACGGTGATCGTAGCAACACCATTGCATTATCTACAGAGTTCTTTATGAAACAAAAAGTGTATATTCCTCGCACTTTCGAATGATTATTCTTTTGGGGTAGAGATAGGGATGTTGATTTCCATTCCTCGATTTTATAAATCACTTGATACGAAATTAAGTGTCTCTCTAACAAGTACGTTTATAAATAAATGAAATATATCAATTTATTTCATGAATTAACCGTTCGCATTCAAATCACTGATTCTATAGACAAATTTAAAACTAACTTTGACTGCGCTGTCGGACTTTGTGTGATGACTTCAGAAGTTCAACGAGCCATTTCACAGTTGTGTATTAAGGTGAATTGACCACATCTAGAACTAGTCGAATATGTTAACTAGTTTTACATACTTTTTGTACAGGATTAGCTTAAAGTGTCACCGTACCTGTAGGTCTATTCAAGAGTACTGTTATATTTGAACCTCCGATTTCCAAGTTAGATAAATGACAGTCTTAAAAATCACTTCTAGCGACAATGTAAGCAAATTAAATTGTTATACAAACATTATGTCATAGTAATCTCGTATTTGTTACTCTGGTTATATCCAAAATCAAAAGTCAGAAGCAAAGAGGTTCGAAGATATATTTCATAGGTTATCAATATATCGAGAAGTGATTGATCTAAAGTGGCTAACTTTTGCAAGAGAAGTTGAGCACGGCGTTCCCACTTGTGATCTGATGCGGATGCATGACCGAGCGCCTTCAACTAGGTGAGTCCATTAAAACGAATATGGTCAGCATCCAATGTCGAAAACTTATAGAGCTACTGATTTATCATAGTCTTTAACATAGATTGAATGATTAAAACAATCAACGTAAATGAATTAAGCATCAATTATATTGTTTAAAACACACACAATCTTAAACACATTTCAGTGTTGAAAAATAGAAAGAACCAAGGGTTAATGGATAACATCATTAGTTAATTATAGTCATATTTACCAAAATGTAAGTTGGAAGGGTTAGTTAGATATTCAACTTATTCAAGAAGTTCGTAACGTGAATACAAATAATGTTTCATCATGATCATCCATATGATTATTCTTTAATGCAGTTACTCGTACCTAAAATAATAAACGTTATTTCAAATGATATTTATGACAGTTGGTTAGATAAGTTTACGAATGTATATATGAATATAAATGACTCGAACTTAGACAAAGAGAAAACAGATAAGTATTCATTAGCTAGAAAGGGTATCAAACTAAGGATGTCAAATAATATATAAGAAAACGTAGCTTCTAGATCATCTAGTTGATATACAGTGGTATATATGTCTAATTTTTATCATTCGATAGCGTTGCCCATCCACAATCCATTATCTTCAAAAGATAACTGATAGTAAGTTACCGGCTTCTTTATTTAGATTACCTGTATAGATAACTGTAAATTGTATCAGTCTTGAGTGCTGTTAGAGGTATGAAGGAAGTTGTCACTTCCTGGTTGCCCACACCATGGAAGAGTTCTTCTGGAAGTGCCTGAAAAGCAAATTGGGTTAGGGGTGGTTTTAGTGACCTGAGAGTGTGACCACAGTGCCTAAGGGACAACTGCTTGAGGTCGGTCACACACGACCCTTTTGTGAGTAATTTTTGTGTTAGACCTTACCATCGTAGACGGATATCCGTTGGATAAGGTGAGGTGTGCATTGTTAGAGTCAACGTTTTCTAATCCCACCCCTCCTTGTGGGAAGGCAGCATCGCTTTTATGCTGGTCGACTGAAGGGAATACCTTACCGTCGTCACACCTCTGTACAGTCAGCAGTATGACTTCGCCTTCGAACCTTGAGATTACTACTTTTAGTCTTACCATCCTTCAACTGACCTCTCTGGTATGATAGGACCTTGAGGAACGATTGTTTCGGCCAGTATCACTCGACCGGTTCATCACGGCAGGCAAACTCGACCACCATGTCAAGGTAGCAGCAACGGTCAGGTAAACTGTATATACTTCATATAAATGATATTTGAATGTAGTAAGTCATTTCACATTGAATGTGGTTTAAGTTTTATGGAAATTTTTATAGAGACATTACACTCACATGCGTTATAATCTTTCCAATTATATCATTTATTGAAACAATGATAAATAGATTATTCGTAATAGGGATAGATTATCTTCAAATCGAATAATGTAATTCAATGAATAATACAAACAGCTCAAAATCTTTATTGTCTTAACTAATATTAAGTGAATCTATGTGTTATTGGTAAAATATCCATTAATACATGGTCACTTGCTGTCAAAACTTAACTAACTTTCACTTTGGTATGATACCTTTATCAACAACTGAAGACATAGATCATATATCTCTTTGACTTTTAGCACATCTATAGTAAATATGTACATCACAATCAAAACAAGATCTTTTTCTAATGAGATATAAATGCTGTGAAATTTCTACCAATAACTACTTTTTTCGTATATATTTTTAGATCAAATGATGGTCATTTGTCTCCAGAAAGCATCATCACATTTACTTTGATCTGTTTATGATTGATTGATCACTAGGTGTTGACCAATGTCATGTATGTCAGATTCTTCTTAGTGTAGATCAAATCCTATCGACGAAGTTGTAATATGGCCATTAGTCTAGGTAATTCGGCATCACGTGCACTATGCTGAGATAAGATGGTGGTTAAACGTAATCAACAAGAAACGTAATGTTTAGTCACCTAGATTGATGGCCACATTGCAGCTTGGTCGATAGGATTCGATCTGCACTCAGAAGGACTTGAGACACATGACACTGATCACCACCTAGTAATCAATCAATTGTAAATACATCTCACTCCTACAGGGGGTCAGTGGTAACGACTCCGTCTGGAAAGCTATGTGGTACAGAATCAAATCCCTCAAGGAGCATCAGTTCCCTCAAGATTACAGGTACATCTTGCTGACAAGTGTCAAATGGCACAAAGGCAATGTCCAGAGTTTCCTGTTGACTACCTCCAACCACCATCTTGCTTTGACCTGTCTTTCTAAACAATCGTCAACGAACTAAACATAAAGTTGTTTTCTAGTCACATGTTATCGAAAGTAGAACAGAATTGTTCACAACTCGACAGTGTGATTTAAATACATCCATAAAAGTGATAGATTTTAAATCATATACATCATGATCAAAAATCTGTCTAAATATAATAGAACTGATAATCTTTGAAGTTAATCAACGGGTATCGTAATTAACTATTTACATTTTCAATACTCAAATGTTACCATTCAATTAAGTCATTGATCAACTACAAGTTGACATAAGTCATAATGTTGAAAAAGCTAAATCATCTTGATGAGGTATAGAATGCTAAGACTTTTGATTATATCCCATTTTCATGTTTATTAAAGATCATTTGACATAGTGTTTGTTTCATACGTATTCGTGTTCACATGAAGGATTTTGATGTGATGTAAAATATACAGTATGATTGTATGACATAAATTATGAAATGATCCCATTCAGTTCTTCTTTTATAAGTTCAATTAGATAAATGACATGGAAACCGACATGAATACTTTTCAGTTGAGTGGCGCCTTTCTATATGAAATACTTTAGTGAAGTAGGCATACTCAAATTTCTACATCATTCATAAATGAACATAATATATGCAATTGTTTCTTTCTTTTTAACTAAATGGGCACAATATCGATTTCTAGAGAAAAGACAATGACAACGTTACTATATATACAAATGTGATCTCTCAATCTCTCTCTCTCTCTCTCTCGTAACTCTTCGTTTTACCATTTCACAAAGAAAACTATTGAGAACTTCAACCAAAATGACTATTCTCATTTACCTGATATAAGGCCGTTTTTCTCTAGATTTTTCAGAAAAATAAAACAATGTAGAGTATGATACTTGATTTCCATAAGTAGAAATATCTGAATAAATCATTCTGAAAGAAATTTTTATTTTATGACAGCTGATATTATGTTTCACTGAATTTGAGTTGAGGTCATTTAATTTATTATAATTAGTGGATTAGTTGAAGTTAGACATTAACAGCGTTGGATGTCAGTCGATTCAGCGGTCTAAAGGTTAAGCGTTCGTGCGCGAGATTGATAGGTCCTGGGTTCGAATCTCGCGAGGCGGGATTGTGGATGAGCACTGCGGAGGAGTCCCATACTAGGATGAAACGGCTGTTCAGTGCGTTCAAATATCTGGTGCATGAATCAATCACATTGGAATAGGCGTATACACTCTTTGTCTTCTCTTCAGCTGTGAGATTAAAATTGCTTTATATCTTTCTTTCTACGAACTAGTTTTTTCTTCCTGTATTATACCATTATATGCAATCTTTCTTTTATATATTACTATCATTGATGTGACTACTATGAATTCGGTGTTCATCTTGCTGTGCTAATGAGGTATAGCAAATTGGACCGATAGATATATGTGCCTGGTCCTACATTATAGCTGACTGACTGGTACATGATTTATAATTAAATAAAAAGAACCAAAACATAGGTTAGATAATACTTTATTCAATATAATATACGGAATATACTTCCCATTCCAAGTTTGGACTTCTCTCTCTAGTTAGCGGGGCTGGGACGCGTCAATAGCTAGCTTACTGGTCTTTGGTCACCGAGTCTTGTTTCTCGTTCGCAGATTAAGTGAACTCATGACAGCTTCAAACCTAGCAACGACCAATCAATCATACATTCAATATCGTATATCATTATTGTTAGCATGGATAAAGACCAATAAACGTTTCATAATCAAACCTTATTTTCCATTCAGTTAAACTAATCAGGTTATGATATATAAGGGTAATGAATTATAAATAAAACGTTTTTTGGGGATTTTCAATATTATATTCATTCAATTAACATGTTTTGAAGCTCTATGTTAACCTGCCGCGGTCTGAGCACCCGGACAGTATCACTGACCCCTCGCCTCACACACACAAATCAAGTGACTTGTGTAGCACATATGTATTCGGTGCCCCTTTGTACCAATATTTATGTGTTCAAATAAATAAATCAATAATTTTATGAGTAGTTCCAAAGGAAAAATATCTTAATTATACAAAAAAAGCTTGTAACAACACTTACTTTTCCATTCACAATTATAAAGACCTTAAAGTAATATGAATCAATTTAACTATTGTTTAAGTGTTTAACTTGATCATTCGACAAGAATAATGTGACTAATTTCGACAGATATCTCTTTTGAGGGGTATATTTCATTGATTTCAGTTTCTAGATAATCAATTATAGTTGACAGTAAGAAATATTGAAAACAGAATATGATCATTTTGAAAGGGCATAAACAGTTTTGTAGCTTAGATACATTCAACGATCTTTAGAAGATTGATCTCAAGTTTTAATGATGTAATTCATGAGGACACTTTACATCTTACTATAAAACAATTCATACTGGGTTATTGGAATTCGTTATTGTGTTTTTTGAAAGTAATTGTAATGTGAATTGACATAGAAATCATTTCATCATTTTGTTTTTCGAAATGCATTAAAACATAGTATGCAATTGTTTTCATTGTTTCAATTACCTGACTCATTAAGGTTATTATATACGTGATAGTTAAATAAAGGCCACATTCTTATAAATTAAAAACATATAGAACTCAAAATAACTGTCAACCAAACATCAAAGTGCAAATCTTCAGTACGAATGTCATAACAGTCCTACTGTATGGAGCTGAAACTTGAAGAACTACTACAACCATCATCAAAAGGGCACAAGTATTTATAAATAGCTGTTTGTGTAAGATACTCAATATCCGTTGACCATATACCATCAGCAACGGCCTAATGTAAGAGAGAACAAAATAGCTTCAAGCTGAAGAGAAAATTAGGAAAAGATGTTGGAAGTGGGTAGGATATACATGACGGAAATCCACAAACTGCATCATGAGGCAAATTCTAACTTGGAATCGTGAAAGGAAGCGGAAGACAGGAATACTCAAGAACACACTACGTCGGGAAATAAAAACAGATATGAAAAGGATGAATAGCAACTGGAAACAAGCGGAAAGGATTGCTCGAGACAGAGTTAGATGGAGAATGCTTGTGAGTGGCCTATGTTCCTCCACGAGGAGTAACAGGCGTAAGTAAGTAAGTAAATGATAATTAAATAAATATATCGGTACCATTATACTGCAAATTTTTGGTTGAATAGGATACACTCTATGTTACACGGAAAGTAACAAGACATTATGATGATATTTTTCAGGCGGTAATGGATTAAGAATAGTTTCTAAATGACTTACAAAGTGCATCTAGGCTGGTATATTCTGAAAACGTTTAACAGTTAAATATAATTAGCTGGAGACGAAAATTCTACAAGTATGTCAAAAAAGTATAGTCTTATTTACGGACATGATAAAATACGCTTTCTTTTTAAATGAATAATATTTCATCGTGTTTTTGATTGAAATCATGAACACCTTTGAGAACTTGGAAGCAATGAACGGTCGTTTCATCTTATTGTGGGACTCTTGTGCAGTGGGCATCCACGATCACACTCGCGGGATTCTAACCCAGACCCTTCAATCTCGCGCGCTAACTCATAAACTCTAGACCACTGAGCCGGGATCCAACGGTGTTAATGTCTAATCTCAACCAATCCACAAAATCGCGCAACCATCTTCCATTGTACTGAAGTAGATATCTGTCATTATGGGATTATGGAGACAAGACAACCGTCCAGTGCTTCCAGATTTTCCATTGTGGTCTAACATTGATCGATTCATGATATCAATAGGAAAAAACTTATTTTTGAAGCGTCCCAAATTATATCTTGAATGCAAATTTCTGAAACAATCAAAATATTCATTGAAAACGTTTGTCACAATGAACAAGATATTAACCGGTATAATTTTAAACTTAATATGGATGCTTCTATGAAAACATATTTCTTCTTAATCAACATTCATGGTATTTAACTCAAATATACATGAAATGCTAGTCAACTCACTGCCACGACAAACTTTGTAACCTGCAAATAAATTAAATATTATTTCAATTACATAGATTAATAAAAAAAATGTATGTGAAGTTAATGTCAGTAGCTATACGTTGATATGTATATTTGTAGTGGTATTGGTTGTTAACTACACGATTTTCTCTAAGCTAAGCTTATAATTACTGAGAAGATTGACATTTAACACTAAGAGAAGGTCAACAATAGTAAACATGGTAACAATCGTTCGAGGTGGTATAGCTTGGACTTGCAGGTGTAGTCATGTGTAACTTATTACCATTCACATTAAACATAATATTCTACCCCAACTCAAATGTTCTCTTCAGAATTGTTAAACATTATATTTCTGATGATAACGATAGGACGCGTTAGCGTAGACTATGATGTGACTTCTACGTAAGATCATATAGATCAGGTAGTCACATCATGACGTATCTACAATTCTAGGAATAGGTCTATTATTATTATAGTAACAAAGGTAAGTGTACTAATATCGGACTTGAATATAATTCTACACCATAATGAATGATCCTACAACCATTAGGTTAATCCCGAAAGAGTACCGGTCATATAAACAATAGTAACTGCTCCCCAACCCAAATGTAATGATTTTAATATAAGCTACAAGTGCTTTTAAGGAGCTCTAACAACTAGGTCGACTGATTCCAATCTCTAAATGAAAACATCACAATAATCTTATTAAGATACTTTATTCGCTAAAACCTTTTCACCATATTATCAGATTTCCGTTGTCTTGGGTAGGTAACTGCTTCTTATCCAACACATATGAATAATGAATATACACGACAATGTATTAAAGGAGTTTTAATGCTAGAATATATACTGTTGATAATAACAATAGTAGTAGTTGTGGATTCATTTCACTTATTGTTATGTTGTACCTTCAATATCCATTTCGGTTTTGATAATGAAATATACAGACAAAGAGATGGGATAGTAATAAGATTTCGATTGTATCCAGTTTTAGAAGACTGTTTCGTGTATAAGCTGGAAAACAATCAATTTGCCTAGGTCACCGTTTGATTTAATCCATATAAAAGATAAATGAACGACTTTTTCGTCATTTGCTACGGAAATATTGAACTAGTTGACATTTTTCGTCTTTTTTTTAAAACATATCCCATTCTTCCGTAGATTTTAAGTTAGAAAATGAAGTACGATAGTCTATCTTGTTTCTCGATATACTTCTGGTAAGGGCAAATGACAGATTTTTTGAAATGTAAAAAAACAGAAAACAAATATGGAATGACGAACTGAGTAACTTCAATTTCTAGGTTACGGTAAACAGATTCAGGAACCTTATTTACTCATTGTGTTACTGAAGTCGTAAGATCTGTAATACTGAACGCGTTGATGAAGAACTTGTGTTCCTCAGAGAAACATCAGCTGAAAACGGCTCTACGAACCATTCATAGAGACGAACGTAAGCTGATTTCGGAACAAAAATTCTGGTAATTTCGTGTCAAAGAAATATCTTTTTATGGATCTGGAATTTAAGGGTGACAAAACTTCTAATGTCTTTAAAAGTTGGTTAGCAGAAGCGATAAAATAAACAATCCATACAGCAAAGCTTAGACTAACGTTAACCAGCTTATTTTTTGTATCCACAATCGATGGGCACCCTTATCTGGTTACTTCTATGTGGATCCACCAGTTTATTTGCTCTTTGTGGGGCAAGGTATAATACGCGGAGATAGAGCTTACTTCGAACTACACTTTACAATGTAGTTCAACAAAGTTTAGAGGAAAGCAGATACAAGTCGTATTGTTGAATATATATCCCATTCCGACCACTTCACTGATCCACAAATAGATTATATGGTTGTTTATACAATCCGAGTAAATCTACCTAGATATCTTTGTACCAAACACTTCAACGCTGTAGAAGCTCTTGATATTCATAAAATGAAGGCATAACTGTATATACAAAAGATGTACGTCTAGTACGTTTCTATTATTCTTATCGATTTATTTCATATTTAAAAACATCACCCTCTCTCGTTAATTACTTTACATATATCTATGATTTTTTAAAATATTCCTTCATTTCATTGAACATCTCCAATGGTTAAGCGCTCGCATGCGAGACTGGTAGGTCCTGGGTTCGTGTCCTGCGAGGTAGGATCGTGGATGCACACTGTTGAGGAGTCCCAAAATAGAACGAAACGGCTGTTCAATGCTTCCAGGTTTTCCATGGTGGTCTGGCTTCAATTGACTCATGATCTGAACTATTGAAATTACAACAATCTCCACAAAACACGTTCTGATACATTTCTTATAACAAAAACATAGTAATAAATATCTTATTCCATTCACATTGTAATACACTGATAATCTATTAAAATAGTTTGTTCTTCACGATTTATTAACTACACACTTCAAATATTGGCGGCTTACTCGAGTATTTGCGCTACCTGTTCCTGCCATCAGTCTATTTTTTAATATTCTCAATGACGTATTTGTACGATTCATGTACTTAACTTTTAATAGATAAAGAACTTTGTATAACTTACACTTTGAGATGAAGGCAGCTGTAAATCGATACATTGATAAATATTTTTTGTATATGTGCAATCTAAACGTTTTCATCAAAATGTTCCTAATTTCCAAGAAGTAAATGGATATTTGATAATTTATACTTTAGTGGTTCGGGATCTGACTCTAGTTATATCATATCTTTGATTGTTCATTGAAATATACATATTGAGATGGTGGAGATTTTTAGCTCAGGTGGATGATTTTGATGGAGTTTCGTTCTCTGAGCTGGATGGTTTGGTCGTGGAGCTTTCATCGCTCTTCTGAACGACATCAGTTTGTGCTGATGATGTCGTTCAGAAGAGCGATGAAAGCTCCACGACCAAACCATCCAGCTCAGAGAACGAAACTCCACCAAAGTATACATATTACCTATCCTCGTATATAATTATCAAGTTAATTCGCGTTAGTGAATAACGGAATTTTTAAATAAGTCAAATAAGTGAATGGATGTTTGAATACGTATATTTTGTACAATCATTGATCCAGGCAGACGATCGAAGGAACGAAGAGAAACGGAATGATGTGCAGTGGAGAAGGTACGTAAGCCAACTTGATTTAATCAAGCGGTAATCAATATTTATAGTCACACAAAAATAAGCTACAGACATGTGATGAGTAGGATAAAATGTACACAAACATATGCTCATATAAAAGCTGTTAAGAAGGATAAATGAATAATTATCAAGCTCAAAATGCAGCTTGAGAAAAGTGGATAAATTGACTTATCCGGAAGCTAGAATAAGTTATATGGGCTTGGAATATTAACCGACACTACAACACTAGTTATCTTATCGCCACAACAAAAGTGGTTTAAATCAGCAAAAATAAACTAAACTTATTCACTTTGAATGTAATTCACAAACAACATCATATCAATGATCGAAAGTTATTCGTAAGAATGAGCGACAGAGAAAACGTGAAACTTAAGAGGATTTCTTGACCACAGGGTATAGGACCGTATAGATTTCATAATTTGTATGACAAAGTACTCTTCATCATGAATTATGTAGAGTTGTAAATACGAGTAATTTAATTACTTGACGTTATCATCAATTTGATGCTTACGAAATTAAACAAAAGAGGTCCTCGTTTTATTCCCGGCCCGAGTCATAATGAAAAATTGTAGAACGATTTCATTCAAAGATAATTCATTTCAATTTGTTTTTATCAGAAAAGACATCGGCTGCAATGGTACAACAAAATAACTACGAAATGGTCAGATATTTGTATCTGACCATAGTTTTTATTTGTTATTAAATGGATTTTGATGTGTCAAGTATTAGCCTTTCTTAATCACGAAGCGGCTAGGATAGGTGAAGTAACGCTGAGCACGCTTTTTAATATGAATTATCAAAGTTAAATTTATAAGTCAATCTAACCTAAACCACCATGGTAAACCTAGAAGCATTGGGCGGCTGTTAAGTCCTAGTATTGGACTCTTCAGCAGTGCACATCGAAGATTCCGCATGCAGGACTCGAACCAAGTGCTTTCGGTCTCACGTACCAACGCTTAACCTCTGCAAAACCTCATTCTAATAATAATCATGTGGTCACTAGTGACTAGCTCTAATATGGTTTTCCAAGGGCTCCATTGAGAAGCTGTGACCAGTGGTGTCCGATCCTTTTTGGGGGGTGAGGCAGTTATCAAAGAATGGATAGAGGGCTGCGCAAGATCATGGATTGATTGAAATCAGACATTGAACATCATTGGATGTCGGCTCAATGGTCTAGAGTTTAAGCAATCTCACACGAGACCGAAGTTCATTGATTCAAGCATCTTTGATGAGGAATCATCAATGAGTGCTGGTGAGGAGTTCCTTACTAGGATGAAACGGCCTTCCAGTGTTTCCATGTTTTCAATGGTGATCTAGCTTAAATTAAATCATGAATTCAACTTTGAAAATAAATTAATACCATAAAGTTTCATGAAAACTTGATTGACTTACAAACACTTTCACAATCATATTCACCTTTAATTGCAATAAATGAAAGTTCAGATAGAAAACACTAATTTTTCTGTAGTCGTTTACTAATAAAATCATCATTATTTGTCATTAAGTAATGAATAAAAGTTATTTAACTCATAGGATGTCGCCTATATATATATCCTCATCTGCTGGTCGAAATCGTGAAAACTGATCGTCGTGAAGATGATCATCTAATACATGTGAAAGTAAACTTTATCTTTACAATGAATCAGTCATTTAACATGAATTCAAATCAGAAATGAGGATTATAGTAAAATATTTCAAATATTATCTTAATAAAGAGATTGGCTGAAGTAAATCTTCCTTTTTCCATAATGATAGCTTAAAGCATATTCTAATGATGCATCATAGATTGGAAAGCATTTACTTACTTACCTACGCCTGTTACTCCGCATGAGGTAGCATAGGCCGCTCACCAGCATTCTCCATCCAACCCTGTCCTGGGCAATCCTTTCCAGCTCCTTCCAGTTGTTATTCATCCTTTTCATATATGTTTTTATTTCTCTCAGATCTCGAGGTCTTCATAATCCAATTAACCACCAGAGGAAAGGGGAAGAGAGAGAGTAGACAGCCTTGTCTGACTCCGGTCCTTACTTGGAATGCATTTGTCAGCTGTCCTCCATGCACAACTTTACACTGTAGTCCGTCGTATGAGTTCCGGATAATGTTGACAACCTTCTCAGGAACTCCGTAGTGTCGAAGAAGTTTCCATAACGTTCTCCTATCTGCACTATTAAATGCCTTTTCATAATCAATGAAGAGGATGTACAGTGACGAGTTCCACTCAATTGGTTGCTCGACGATGATCCGTAGTGTAGCAATTTGGTTTGTGCACTACCGATCCTTACAGAATCCAGCTTGTTGATCTCGAAGTTGGGCGTCTACTGCATCTTTTATCCGGTTTAGCAACACTCTGTTAAAGACTTTCCCTGGTATTGACAGTAGTGTAATGCCTCTGTAGTTTTCACATTTGATCAGATCTTTCTTTGGAATCTTTGGAAAGCATTTAAATAGTACTATTTTGAGTGGTGTATATAAGTTAAGTTGACTAGCTATAAATACAAGAACTACAGGAACCAGCATGAAAAAAGTACTTTTACATAAAATAACAAGAAAAAAAGTTCTTTGAAATGTTCCAGTTAATAATAAGGTGAGTTGTAAAGGAAAGAAGCAATAAAAATATTGATGAATCGGTTGTATAGATTAGCATTTGTCTTCAAATAAATGGTTATATGATAGTTTGGACTGATATAACAAGTTTAACTTTCTGCATATTAATGAAAAGAATAAATACGTGAATTAGTGACTAAGACATCATTTCTTTCATTATAAATTGCTGCATCCAATAAGAAGAGATAAGACTTAATGGAGGAGGGAATATGTGTGACTTTTTAGGGCGAATTATAATCCAAAAGTGAACATCAACTCTGAGATGCAAATACATTCAGCTGACGAGTCTCAAATAGGACGAAGTGTCTCGCATCCTGGATATCACTGCTAGCCACTATCTATCTTGGAATTATAATCAGCTAGGCACAAAAAATTTGCTCATCACGATTAAACACCTAGCAGCTTTATAAGTGGAAAGAATGAGATAAACTATAGCTACTTCTTTCCATGTTTGACGAGTTCATTATTATCTAAGCATTTGCTAGTGATTTGGAAGAAACAGATAGTTTAATGTGTAAGACATGTTCATGAAATTCTTTTAACAAGTAAAAATTTGTTGACAGGAAAATTGTTTTCTTAATACAAAACTATTAAGAGCAGAATCAGTTTATTGATAGTGGACCAGGTGTATGATAAATAGTGCCATGAAATTTTCATATTTTCACTTGATGGAGTGTTATACGGATTTACTACCGCTTATTCAAGCACATTAGAATTTTATTGACACTCGCAATAAAGGACCAGTCTGAAGTGAACTGAAAGTCGATTAGTCAGTAACGTGATAGTAATACCAGCATAAAATCATAATTTTTAAGGTTTTACCAGGTCAGTTGACCTTCAGTGCACAAAGGTCGATACTAGACAATGGAGAGGGAACATTTTTCTTTAAGTCTGTTTATTTACAGCATAAACTGTTATCAGTAGTAAGAAATATTATTTATTCCTACAATTAATAGTTCAAGCGGTTTTATGGTAGTCACTTTTGATCACTTTTATTTAGTCTGTTATTAATTTAGAAAGACTGTATTTATCATACTGAATTTATTCCTTTATTCATTATTTCAATTTAAACTGACCTTCATTAACATGCGGAAATTTAAATTCTCTCAATAGAATGCAGCGTACTCGTAGATACCGATTCATTTTTGTATTGTATGTTTGAATCTTTTCACTGATGTTCAGGACTACAATCAATCAGTTTCTTATCGGTGTACATGGATCATCCACGGATTGTCTCGATACTGTCTTAAATCACAAGCGGTATAAGCAGAGATGAATGATAGCTAGCAGTGGGAATCAATGACGAGCGTCTCATTCTATTTGGGACTCATCAGCTGGATGTGCCTGCATCCCAGAGTTACCTTACGCTTTAAACACAATGGCGTTATCCGTTCGGTCACTAAGTCCCGATAACCACTATCTTGAGCAATCAGGTGAAATTTTAATTCATTTTGGTATTGTTTGTTTGAATCTTCCCATTGGTGTTTAGGATTGTAATTGATCAGTCTGTTATTGACATATGTGCATCCTGTACACATTGATGCGATGGCATTTAAAGCGAACGGTATAGGATTCAAGTACTGGAGTAAACATTAACTTTGAAATTCAGGTACGTTCAGCTCGCGAGTTCAAAATAAGACCAAATGTACATCCAGAATTCCTCTACTAGCCACCATCCATCTTTGCTTATATCTGTAGATAGTATTCATTGATTAAATTCATATATTAATGAACTTGTTCGCAAACTATAAACATACACTTATGGAAAAACGGATAATAGTATAGACTTACAACTTTTTCTACTAAAGGATGAGTCTAAATGTGGAGAAAATTTAACCACGTAATATAGTGTTTACTAATTTAATATATCAGAACGTGAATTCTTGGTTGTTTTTTTCAACATATAATAATTATAACATTAAATAATGTCGTTGAAACTTCATAATCACGTACTGTTACAGCCAATAATACCTGAAAAGAAATTTTGCTTTTAAAAAAATGCAACTCATAGAATCTCAGTTCTTCAATGAATATTCACTTGAATTATTAGATAGAGGATATTTAGTATCATTTATAAAAGACTGAAGTTAGATTGAAATTAGATATGAACGCCAGTGGATGCCGGCTCAGTGGTTTAGTGGTTAAGCGCTCGCGCGCGAGACTGGTAGGTCCTGGGACTGAATCTCAGGGCGGGATCATGGATGCGCACTGTTGAGGAGTCTAACACTAGGACGAAACGGCCGTCCAGTGCTTCCAGGTTTTCCATGGTGGTCTAGCTTCAATTGATTCATGAATTCATCTATTGAAAGGCTGATTTGTCTATTCATAAATTAATGTGAATAATTTTTTAGAAAAAAATTTAAAAAATCCATGAATTTTTGTTGTACATTGAGAAACGAATCAGACTATATGTTCAGTTAGCCTTACAGTGTTCCTACTCGTTCCCTTTCTACTCTTTTGTATATTGTCTTATACTACTTATATACATTCAGTAAGCAGTTGTATTCCCAACAATTTTCACACTTATGTTGTACTGTAACATTCTGAAATGTTCATATCTATCTTTAATGTTTATTTTACTTATCATTGTATTTATCATTATAATCACTGTAATTTAATTATTGCAACGGTTATCCACAGTTTTGTGCATTTGTTTAAACGCAACAATTTCTATATTTCTATAAACCTAACTGACTATTCATCTAATGAAAACATAGATGAGTTTGTAAGTATCATTGTTATAGTTTGATTAAATAGTTCAAAATAAATAACGCATTGGATAGATTACATTTTGTGATCAATTGTAAATCACTAGAAAGCTGTTTCGTTCGAGTATAGAACAATTCAGCAGTCCCCATGCATGAACATGCATGAGGGATTCAAACCTTGAACCTTCTATCACCATCGAGAATTCTTAATCGTCCAATGCTTCCAGCCTTTCAATGGTTGTCTAGTTTAAATAGACTTGTGAATTCAGTTGTTAAAATGCAAAAACCTCTACAAATCCCCCAATGGATGACGTTTAGTTATTCACAGAAATGGATTACACTAAGTCATGAATATTAAAGATATATTGTTTTGATGGAGTTTTGTTCTCTGAGCTGGATGGTTTGGTCGTGGAGCTTTCATTGTTCTTCTGAACGACATAATCAGCACAAAATTCAGACACATAGTCCATGAACGTTTATTAGTAGAACTCTAATATTCACAAATAACTAAAGGGTATATAATAACCAAATATAGATGATATTTATTTTTGAATTATCACTAACTTGTGAATACTAATAACAAAGATAAGACTACTTGTCTACATTGGATTTACTTGAAATTCATTCGTTGAGATTTAACAAATACGTATTCTTCCTCTTTAATGCGGTACATCAACTCGACGACCAAATACTATGAAACTATTGGATCAAATTTTGAACGAAAGTTCTTATATACTATCTACAATATGAAGCTTGTAAATCGATAAAACAATGGTGAATGGAAGTAGTTTACTGATTTTCAGCTTTGAGTACAAAAAACTTACAGTATTCATATCCAATTGTTGCTATGACTACAATAAAAAGTTTAAAATTATTTCTAAGTCACTGTATATAAAGCACAGTTGTCATTATGGACTGAAAAAGCATCAGTATAATAGTTATCATTTACATCCAGAATGTACGAAAGTTCACGTTATAAATACACGTCCAGACAATTCTGGTATCAATAAGTTTCACGAGCAAATGTAATAGGTAGGAAGGAATGATTCATACATTTTTATTTAAACCGAATAAATTTGAACTAACGAAGGTTAAAAGGACTTAGTAGCCAAGTGTATAACGTGTTGGTATTCGAAGAGAATGGTACTGGATTGGAATCCTAGAGTGAACTTCAACAGTGGAATGCAGGTACATCCACATGACCACTCCCAAATAAGATGAAACGCACGTCCTGTATTCCACTGCTAGCCATTATCCATCTTTGCATTTATAAAGCTTGTGACTTAAGGCGAAATCGAGGCACATATACCAATAAGAGAATGATCAATTGCAATCGTAAATAACAGTGGGAATATACAAGCAAACAACACCAAGTAAATTCAAGGTTAAAGTTATTTTATTTGACATTTATGAGACCCGATAAAGCTCACTATATCATCTTCAACTTTTCTTTATGTACAAAAGTATGTTGTCTAGGAATTTATCTTGAGTAAATGTTGAAAACATCAAAATACTTTAATAGATCTTATACAATCTATCATCTCAAAATGGTGTTCTAACAATTAGGTATAATGAATAATAATAAGCAAGAAAATTTGAATAACAATAACATACTTAAATTCAATTTGGTATTATTTACTTGAATCTTCTCACTGATGTTTAGGATGGCAATTGATTAGCTGACGAGTCCCGAATAGGACGAAACGCGCATCAAACTAGATTCCACTACTAGCTACTATCCATCTTTGCTTATAATACTTGTAAATTAAGGCAATATCGAGGCAACACGCAAAGTGTGCACATATGCCAATAAGAGACTGATCAATTGCAGTTCTAAAACATCAATGGGAAGATTCAAGTAAAACAATACCAAGTGAATTAAACTTCACCCCATTGCACAAGCAAGTGGCTATCAGGACTCAGTAGCTAAGTGGATAGCGCGATGACGTTTGAAGCGAACGGTACTGAGTTCGAGTCCCAGAGTGAATATCAACTCTGAGATGCAGGTACATCCAGCTGACGAGTCCCAAACAGGTTAAAACGCTCGTCTTGTATTCCACTGCTAGCCACCATCCATCTTTGCTTATAATGCTTGTGAAATATTATATTTCATTACATTCTCAAGATTCAAGGTTTCATTAGGACGTTTTTATGAAGTTGTAAACTTAAATGATCAAATTACAACTTTCAGATGTTTCGAGTTTCTATTTTTTTTTTGTAACTTACTATTATCAATTACTGATTCTGCAGTTGCGGAAATCTTGTCTCCTGTAATTACACAACAACAACAAACATTTAAAAATATCATACTTTTATTGTACAGTTAGCATCATAACTTGTTGTCAACTTGAGAATCCATAACCATAAGTGATCATTACTTAATCTATTTACTCGTAAACAATCTTGATTGATTTATCACTTTCATACAAGTATTTATACATATGTCTATCATAGTAAATGAAAGAGGAAATTGATGAAAGCATAAATAAAAATCAATTAGCTCTTTTTTTAATTAGTAACCAACAGAGATATAAAACAGCACTGTCATTGTATTTAGATGGTGACAAGATTCATGGGTGATTATTCCTAACGCTTTGAAATACTTATGCCAGGTGAAATGTTGGATTTACTTAAAATTCATTCGCTGAAATTTTACAAATACAACATTCTTCCTCTTTAATGACTAATATTAACTCGATGCCAAAATATTGTGAAACTATTCGTTCAAATTTAGACGAAAGTTCTTACTTATAAACTTGATTCAACAATGTTGGATAACGATAATATTTTAGTTTGAACCTGATGAAATTTGAAGTAGCTTAAGTTTATTTGTCAGTGAATCTTACAATGATACAATGTGATTTTTTCACAGATTGAAATCATGAGTCAGTTGAAGCTAGACCACAACTGAAAACTTGGAAGCACTGGACGACCGTTTCGTCCTAGTATGGGACTCCTCAGCAGTGCGCGTCCGCGATTTAACAAATATAGATATTTTTAGTTCATGTTCATTAGTAGATATCACAAAGAAAGAAGTAATTCATGGAATTCAGACAATAACCCTCTAGGTAAGGATGTGTCAATATAAATGTTGATATGAATGAGCATTTAATAAAAACATTACAATCAAATGAGCTCATCTGATGAATCTATAAGGAGTTTACTAAAAATAACTGAACTATAACTGTTATATCTCGATGAGAATAATGAATGGTAACTTTAGGGATCCATTTATAGACCAATACTATGCGCATATTTTCATAGTGTAATTGTTAAGTAACTAAACTGTTTATATTCGTGTCCCTCTTATCATAAGCTTTATTTTGACTTATGAACTATTAATATACCATTCTTGAGCTATGCCCAATTTATCAATTACTATCTCTCATATTCATAGCCCATTTTGGCTAAATCTTGTAAAAATGTTGTTTCCTATTTTATTGGTACGATGTGGTCTATTTGATTGGTATATAAACCCAGTATGTTTGAAATAGAATGATTCATATTGCAGAGGCTGAGATTGGTGTTCTGGACTCAAAAGGCGGGAAGAATGACCTGTAAAGCCTCTAGACTGCTCATACTTGTTTTATATACTATTGGTGTGGTCGATTATTCATTGTTCTCTAATTAAAGTTTTCATTACGTTATACATTGAAGGGATACAGGGCACAATAACCATTAAGATATGGATATCGTAACACAAAAATATTACTAAACATACATCCTTCTAAATGAAATTCATATTCATATAAGGTTCATGTATAAAACTGATGGTAATACACAACATTGTAATCATTACATAATAACTGTTTGTTTGTTTTTTTAAAAAATTTTCATTATTTACGTTTCCATATCATGACAGGGAGGATAATATGACCTACTATGTTTTTCACAAGCTAAATTGCCTAAAATATAAAAGTGAAAATCATGCTTAATGTAAAGAGTAGAAGTGTGAGGTTTTATTTTTACAAAAATTGTTTTCCGCTTAGTTTATTTAAACACATAAACATTGATACAAGAAGGCACCAAATAGATATGCGACACATAAATCATTCGATTTATGTAAAGACTGGGATACTGCACGGATGCGAAAACCGAAGCAGTCCACCTAATTGTCTGATCCACAAAGCAACGGAGCAACGTAACGAGATACAGTCACATGGTAATCAATGAACAGCAATAGGTTCATATGCCATTTGTTCACTCAGGATCCTGTAGCCCATGTGCACGATTGGTTTAGAATCAGGGTTTTCCAACTTGCCTAGGTGAACTCTCTGTGTCCACCAACCCGGTGAAAGCACCGGACATTCTATTTTCTTCCTCATAATTTCGTAAACAACACCGGTGCTATGAGAATGCAGGTAATAGGACTATCCTTGTAGTGTTTGTATGCATGTGGCCACTTAAGAGTATTTGGAGAGGGAGAGCTGACTCTCTGCACTTTTGGCCGTACCAAGGCATTTGGGGGCCATTTTTTTTTACTGTAGTCTATGCAAATTATTAACACACAACATTTGGATATTTATTCTGCGTTTGTCCTAACAGAGGAGATTTTCCATTAAATTCTTATATGATAAGGTGATGCTTTCTACGAATCTAAATATATTTACTTATCCAATGTGACATCAGTGCATAATTTTTTATCGGAATTTATTTATTTTCATTCTGCTTGGATTTTCGGTAAACAAAATCAGTATTAACATTGTATACTTCGTCATTATATATCGTATGTATTCAGTAATTTTCCTAGTTAGGATATGTGAGATTAGTCAACTGGTGATCGACTGTATTATGAAGACGTCAACATCTGGGGGGGGGGAACACGGGATACAGTAGACAGCTAGGATGCAACTGGGCGATCTAGACTTCGCAGGTGATCTGGTTCTTCTATTGCATACGCAACAATAAATGCACAAGAAGACGACCAGAGTAACAGAAGCCTCAGCAGCAGTATGTCTCAATACAGACAAAGGGAAAAGCAAGATTCTTCGATACAACACAGCATGCAACAATTGTATCACACTTGACGGCGAAGATTTGGAAGATGTAAAAACATCTACATATTTGGGCAGCATCATTAATGAACACGGTGGATCTGATGCAGATGTGAAGGCGCAGATCGGTAAAGCAAGAGCAGCGTATCTACAATTGAAGAACATCTGGAACTCAAAACAGCTGTCTGTCAACCAACATCAAAGTAAGAATTTTCAATACATATGTCAAGACAGTTCTATTGTATGAGGCAAAAACCTGGAGAACTACGAAAGTCGTCATCCAGAAAATACAGGTGTTTATTAACAGTTGCCTACGCAAAATACTTTGGATCCATTGGCCAGACACTATCAGCAACAACCCACTGTGGGAGATCCCAATTGAGAAAAAAGTCATAAAAGCATTGAAAGTGGGTAGGACACATATTGTGGAAAGCACCCAACTGTGTCACAAAACAGGCCCTCACATGGAATCCTCTAGGTCAAAGGAGGAGAAGAAGACTAAAGAAAATATTATGCCGAGAAATGGAGATATATATGCGAAGAATGAACAACAATCGGATAGAACTAGAAAGAAAGGTCCAGAAGAGAAATAGTTAGAGAATGCTGGTCGGTGGCCTTTACTCCATTGGGAGTAACAGGCGAAAGTAAGTAAGTACGTCCGTGAATACCATTGTTTCAATAGATTTGAATTGAATTATATCAAGAAAAATCATTTAACAAAGTTTAATATGAAAATGTACTTACAATAAAAATGTTGTGGATTAGCATCTATATATCAAAGGTGAATAGAATTGTTTTGTTTATAAATAGTAATAAGCTTTTATTAATCTATAAAAAATGGACCATTTTATGTATTGTCCATCAATTCATTATTATATATTGAAGTATCTATCCTCAAAACATTGTCAATAGTTTAATTATGGTTGCCGGTTTACAAGAAACTTGTTTATATTCCACTTATCAGTGTATATTTACATATTGATTACTTATATTTAATATCAGAAGGGGTTTTGTGGAGATTTTAGTAATTTCAATAGTTGAGATCATCAGTCAATTGAAGCTAGATCACTATGGAAAGCTCAGAAACACTGGACGGCTGTTTCGGCCTATTGTGGGGCTCCTCAGCAGTGCACATCCACGATCCAGGACCTATCGATCTCGTACATAAACGATCAACCTCTAGACCACTGAGCCGGCATTCAGTGGTGTTAATGTCTAAATTCAAATAATCCACTAAATTGAGCGACACATCCATCATTGTCTTCAGTAAGTCACTATCTTACAATCAGTCAGGATATTATTTATCAATGAGAAACATTATATCTTGTAAAAACTTTTTTTCAATTTATTTAATGTAACCAGCAGAATTGTGTAAAACATTCGCTTAAGCTTTCATGAACATAAGTTAGTTTAATAAGTAAAGATGGATGAGGACTAGCAGTAGAAATCAATGACGCTCATTTCCTCTTATTTAGGACTCATCATCTGGATGTATCTGCATTCCAGAGTTGATGTTCATTCCAAAACTCAGTAGCTAAGTGGATAACGTGATTATGTTCGAAGTAAACGTTAATGAGTTAGAGTCTTGAAGTAAACATTAATGCAGGTACATCCATCTAAAAAGTCCCAAATAGGATGAGACGCTCGTCTTTGATTCTCACTGCTAGCCACTAGCTAAGTAGATAACGTAATTGCGTTTGAAGAGAACGGTACTGGATTAGAGCCTCAGAGTAAACATCAACTCTGGAATGCAGGTACATCCACCTGATTAGTCTCAAATAGAACGAAACGCAGGTCCTATATTCCACTGCTAGCCACTATCCATTTTTTGATTATAATGCTTGTGAATTAAGACAATATCGAGGCACATAGGCCAACAGAAGATACAAGTAACCAACATCAAGTACTTCAGTTTCAATTATGATGCATTTGGTTTTCTTATGACATAAATTTGCTTTTAACTGTCAAGACGTTTCTATACAGATTTTAACTGGCATAAAATTTTAATAAATGATGTTAATAGAGTTATTTGATGAAAGCATGAATGATACAACTTCGACTGTATTATATGAAGTTCCATTGTAGTGGACAGAACACGGGTGGGGACAATCGAATGTAAATAGCACAAAATTACAGAGTTACTTGGTAAAATATTAATCCATCATGTCAACCTGGACTGTTCCTGTTGTAAACATTAATCCATTGTCTCACATTTCATTGTTCATGCGTTTTCTTACAAATTGCATTGTGTTCCCGCTCTTCCTTTCTTGATCTTCCCCCATCTGCTGCCAGACATTACGTTTTCAACTCGCGTCACATACTACTTACATCAATATAAGTAGCACGCACCACACCATGAATAAATTTTCAAATCCATTTTCATCAAGTTACTTTATTGATAGCTGAATTACAGGCTGAGTAATGACCCTTGCAATATGTAGATTATATATATTGTGTATATATGTATGTATTATATCTTTGTTAATGAAACTCTTTACGTTTCAACTCATGATAATCATCAGTTTGTTTGTTAAACAACAGGTCTACTTTCTAAAGAACTATACTAATCCAGTCTATAGATAACATCAAATCCAGAAACTTCCAATTCATTAATTCAAATAATCTGGCATAATATTGTGGAGTCTTACAATCAGACAAATCTTTACATATATGAAATTGAGAACATCCACTACAAAATTAAATCCAACTTATGATTCTTAATGATTAAATAACGTAGATACACAATGGTTGTTATAAGTAATGATCTATCATGTAAGAAAATTTCGGTTTATTCAATTTGACAATCCATCTTTTTCATAAATTCCTTTAGTATTGTGTTTGCTTGAATCTTCTCATTGATATTTAGGACTACAATTAATCAATCACTTATTGATATATGAGCATTTTGTACAGATAACCTTGATATTACCTTAAATCACAAGCTGTTTAGACAAAGATGAATGATGACTAGGAGTGGAATCCAAGACACTCATTTCATCCTGTTTGAGACTCGTCAGCTGGATGTACCTATTTCATAGTGAAATAAATTTTCTTAATTTAAAACAAATGGATAAAGATCATTTGAGAATTTTCAGTAATTTATCATGATTTAGTTCAATTTGTTCTTATCAAACGTTATTGTGTTTAATTTTGCTTTTGGTTAAATGACTACAGTCTAAATCAATCCTATAGCACAATTAAGGACAACAATACAACAACTCAGAGATCACTTTTAGAAGAATAGACTGTAATATATATTACACAAATTATAAGAATAGTTATAATTTTGAGATTCATTTATATCTATGCTCATTCGAGAATTTATTAACGATCATTAAGATGACAAATGAACATTAGTAATTAAGAAAGTATTATATGCTTACTAGTGACTAGCTTCATGAGGCGATTCTCGAAGTTCCGGTGAGAAGCCATGAGCAATGGAGCTAATGCATGTCGGGTAGAGACGGATGTTTACCTTAGTACAATGGAAGATGGTTGCACAATTTCGTGGATTGGTTGGGGTTAGACATTAACACCGTTGGATACCGGTATAGTGGTCTAGAAGTAAAACGCTTGCGCGCGAGACTGACGACCCTGAGTTCGAATCCTACTTGCGGGATCGTGTATGTGCACTGCTGAGGAGTCCCACAGTAAAATGAAACGGCCGTCCGGTGCTTCCAGGTTTTCAGTGGTGATCTAACACTAATCGGTTCATGATCTCAATTAGAAAACTAAGAAAAACGTTGTTTTTTCAGTGAACGGTAATTAATCTGAAGTATTTTACTCTGTAATATTGAAATAAGTGATTAATCAAGACATACTTTTTAAACATGCAGTATTACCTAAACAGTGAAGATAGGTATATAGTTTATTAGCTTCATTCAATATTATATTTTGGGTATAATATAGAATTATCAACACAAAGTATTTCAACAAGTTTCCTTTGCTTATTTCTTGTTCGATCATTTCGATAAATATTGAGCGATCGCCAGTTAGATAATAGCAGTTTAGGAATCAATATCTGAATAGTGTATATTCATTTCGTTGTATATTGCCAGCAACCACGATGTCTCTGATTGAACTTTTTTGTAACTTGGAAGAATGCTTATCCTCCACTCTTATTGGGTTATTTGATTCTATTTGTTTCTGTAACCATTTAGTTATATGTTCACACACCTTAATTTTGAGATCACGATTACTCCTCCCTATGCATATGTGACCACATATAATACACACATTTAAATTGTTAAAAACAGTGGGTTTACAATGAAGCATGAACTTTGTTGTTTCAAAACACGATCCACAATTAAGATAATGATTTAAGCATACCGTATTATTTCTACTTAACATATGAGTGAATGTTGTCGCTAATTAGTTCTGATAGTTTACACACTTGCAATGAAACAATCGTTTTAATTTATCAGTACAATGAATGATTTTCAAGCTGTATAGTGAAGGTAATAACGAAAACCCTTGAATAATTAATAGTAAGCAAATTGTGTATCATGCATAAATTATGAAATGAAATTACACATTACTTACAATATGGCCTCAGATATTTCTCTAGATTGAAAATCATTGATGAAGAAAAATAGTTTTATTATTAATTCTGCCGAGATTATAGAATTTACTCTATGAAAATAGAGTATATTGCCCCAAATGCTCTCAAGTGGCCATGTGCATACAACCACTACAAGGATAGTCTTATTCACTGCATTCTCGTGGCACCGGTGTTGTTTACGAAATTGAGAGAACGAAAACAGAATGTCCGGTGCTTTAACCGGGTTGATGGACACTGTTGTATCTTATGACTGCAGATTATGAGCGAAGCGTATATTATCGATCGGATCAATGACGCGTAAAACATGTACGAACGACCTAGAGTCCTGATTGGCCCTGCTTCGCTGTCTAGCCCAGCCAGTTGAGTCTAGAACACAAGTCTCAGCCTCCGAGATATGAATCATTATATTTCATACATACTCTGTTTATATACCAATCAAGCAGACCACATCGTACCATAAGATAGAAAACAACATTTGTACAATATTTGACAAGTGAAATAAACATTGACCATTAGGAAATGTCCGTTTAAAGTTCAAAAACACTATTAAACTTAACATGATAACTATTGGTATATTTTTCTGAACATCCCAACAGACACAGAGAGTCCACCTAAGGAAATAGGAAAACCCACATTCCAAATCAGTCGTGCACATGGGCTACATGATCCTGAGTGGACAAATGGTGTGTGAACCTATTGTTGGACATTGGCTACCATGTGACTGTATCTCCTTACGTCGCTCGATTGCCTTTTGGATCAGACAATTAGGCAGACTTCTCCGGTTGAGGCCCCCTAAGAAAACCACCTGATTCGGTTTTTGCATCCGTGCAGTATCCCAGTCTTTACATAAATCGAGTGATTTATGTGTCGCATATCTATTTGGTGCCTTCTTGTACCAATGTTTATGTGTTTAAATATAAATAATGAATATAGACTTCTTTATAAACCTTTGAATTAGTCACATGGAGAATGTAGGCTTTGGTGACCCAACTATTGTTGAAATTGTACATCTCTCGTAAATGGCAAGGATCAATAGAAAAACTTAAGATTGAATTTTAGTCTAATTTATGTGATTTTGATTGTATTTTAACGTTACTATTACGTAACCAACATCTAGTTTCCGTTTACATTACACTTAGATTACTGTCAATTGTTTCGGTGATTAAATAATAACTTAACTTATTGTGTTGAATATGCGCATAAATTGATTTAGATTAAACAAGTTTATCAACCAAACTTATGTATTTGACCCAACAGTCCATATGATAATTTTTATTGTAAGTTCTACATTGGACAATTTTCAAATATGGTGGAGAAGATTTGTAGCCCAGGTGGACGATTTTGATGGAGTTTTGTTCTCTGAGCTTGATGGTTTGGTCGTGAAGCTTCCATCGTTCTACTGAACGACACCATCAGCAGCATAAACTTCAGGTAGAAGTAAAGTGTTCGAATTTTTGCACGTGTGGTTCACAGCTTGTCCTGTAGACGTCGATGTTGATCGGTTCTTATTGACCTTAAACCTGTCAAATATTCTTGGGATCTAAAGTTATTACATGGTTGTATATATATACGTGCTTTTCAGGATTCATCTCAAATAAGTTACACACAGACATGTATTATCTATAAACCACATTAAATAGGCATATATAATAATAATATTATTATTATTATACGTAACAGTATCTTCTATATTAAAGCCATGTAAACAATTGACATGGCCTCATGAAATCGGTTCAGTAAAAATACGTCTATTCTTAGTATTCCTTATACATTTTAATTGCTTACATACTGAAAATAATCATATATACATATACATGGCAACATGGATCAAAATTTATTGTTTTTTTTTCACAGTAGCTCTTTTGTAATGAAATATATCGATATATGAAGGAGGTTTTGTGGAGATCTTAGTAACTTAATAGTTGAATTCATGAATCAACTAATGTTAGATCACTATGGAAAACCTGGTAGCACTGGATGACTATTTCGTCCTAGTATGAGTTCAAACCTAACTAGCAGGATCATGGATATATACTGACGAGGATTACCATACTAGGACGAAACAACAGTCAAATAGTGCTTCCAGGTTTTCTATAGTGATCTAACTTTAATTGGTTCATGAATTCAATTAATAGATATGTTATTGTAGAAGTACTTTATTATATTCAACAGGAAATATATTCTTTTCCTTAATATAAGCTTAACATCTTATAGACCTTAATGATCATTTAACTTACTGTCAGATTCACATCTTTCAAGGCCTAAAATGTAAATACAAGGATAGTTATATAATTTCTATATAGAGTATTGTAATTTAAATGAACTTATCAGTAAATGAATACTTACAATTGGTACCTATAAAAGGAATGTTTAATAAAATAACAAGTTTTCAATCATTTTGATTACATAAGTTTATATATTGATTACATGTTAAATAATTTCTGTTCCTCAATACTTAATACAAAAACTATTTCTTATAATTTTTAATAGAATAATGAACTTTATTATTAGAGATTCTAGAGAGAAGCTGTAACTAGTGGAGTCCTATCCATCTCGAGTGAGAGACAGTCATGAAATAATGAATAAATGATTACGAAAGAACATGGATCGATTGGAGTTGGACATTAACATCATTGGATATCGGCTCAATGGTCTAGAGGTTAAGTGTTCGCGCAAGTGACTGAAGATCCTAGATATGAAAGTCATATGAGCGATCATGGATGCACACTTCTCATGAGTTCGTTACTGAGATAAAATGGCCGCCTAGTGCTTCGATGTTTTCAATGGTTGTCTAGCTTAGATTCATTCATGAATTCACATATTAGTTTTATAGTATCCAAAAACCCCTTCTGATATTAATCAACATTTGCTCACTAATGACTGGTTTCAAGAGGTATTTTGTGGAGTTCTAATGAAAAACAGTGACCATTGAACTTCAGCCGAAAATGTTGTGAGATGGTAACTCACTGAAGAGAATTGTGGACGGTGGGTAAATTTCCTGGATTAGTTGAAGTTAGATATTAACACCGTTGAATGAAGGTCGGCTCAGTGCTGTAGAGATTAGGCGCCGATAGATCCTAGGTTCGAATCCCGTGAAGCGGGATCGTGTGTGTGCACTGATGAGGAATCCCACAGTGGGACGAGACGTCCGTCCAGTACTTGCTGGTTTTCCATGATGGTCTAGCTTCAATTGACTCATGATCTCGACTATTAAAATTATTAGTTTTAACTTGATTTTCTAGGTTGTAATGGTAAACTAAATTTTCTCTTATTTTTATCACTATTATTATTACTATTAGCTTACTGTTTGTTAATTCTGCAGCAACTAAAGAAGAAAACATTGTTTTAATAGTCAATTAAATTATTTGAGAAACAGAGTTTAAAATTATCTCAAAATTGATCCGATACAAAGTATACCACTTATTTAAAATTAAGTAATATACAGTGCATATTAAAATTATTCAGCATATACTGAAATTTGGGTGGAAATGAGACATGAAGAGAATGTTCACAATCAATTAACTCTGTCTCAATAAAAATGTGCAACGATAATTAGTATTCCACTATTTCAAACTCTATTTATTTGTAAACCGGGAGGCCTGCTTGAATATTTGGGCTGCCTGCTCCTGCAATCGAGATATTTCAACATGTTATCTAATGTATGTTTTAATCGATCATTATTGGTATTATTCGCATAACCTATCCAGATGCGTTTCTCAAAACTGTACAGCCTTTCGTTTTTTAATTTACAAAAGAGTCCAATCAGAGATATCGTTGTTTCTGGCAATATACCGCAAAAAGAATGTATATTATTTAGATGTCGATTAGCTAGACTATTAACATCCAACTGGCGATTGCTCAATATTTGTCGTCAGGATCGACGAAGAAGCAAGAAACGGAAATTTGTTGAGATACTTTGTGCTGAGAATTCTATATTATGCCAAAAATATAATATTAAATAAAGCTAATGATAATAATAATAATATTAACTTTTTCAGAGTGATCATTTCATATACCTACTGTATAACTAGTGGGAATTCGAAGAGTAATATAGTTTATTCAGAATAATAGCTTGGAAACGTCGAAATATCTACGCATCGTTTTAAATTATATTTTCAGAATAAGATTAATTGCTAACTTACTTACGCGTGTTACTCCTCGTAAAGGAGCATAGGCCACCCACCAGCACTCTTCATCCAACCCTGTCCTGGGCAACCCTTTCCAGCTCTTTCCAGTTGTTATTCATCCTTTGCATATCTGATTCTATTTTCCGATGTAATTTGTTCTTCGGCCCTCCTCTTTTTTGTTTCCCTTCAGGATTCCAAGTTAGCGCTTACGTCGTCATTCAGTTTGGTGATTTCCATAATGTATGTCTTATCCACTTCCAACATCTTTTCCTAATTTCCTCTTCAGTTGGAAGCTGGTTTGTTCTCTCGCACAGTAGGCTGTTGCTGATGGTATTCGGCCATCTTATGTTGACAACTATTTATAAATACTTGTATCTTCTTGATGATGGTTGTGGTAGTTCTGTAAATTTCAGTTCCGTATAGTAGAACAGTTTTAACGTTCGTATTGAAGATTCTGACTTTGATGTTTGGCTGACAGTTGTTTTGAATTCCATATGCTCTTCAAATCTAGGAATGCTGTTGTTGTTTTGCCAATCTACACCTTTACGTTTGCATCCGATCCTCCTTTTTTGCCGATGATGCTTCGCTAGAATAAAACTAAACATTTCAAACTTCTTACTTATCAAGATCCCATCTCTTTTTATACATACATAACTTTTTTAAAATTCAGGTAGTAATACACCTCAAAGCAGTACTAATTTCATACTTATGAATGTAACTGAGTACCTTATAAAAACATTAATGCCATACAGATTGATTTGTAACTTAGAAGTTTCCACTGATGAATTTCTGGTTAAATGAATGAAATAACTAATGACCATTTTAAGTAAACTGTATGGATAACCATTTTGATTGTTTTCTAGTTCATTCAATGAAGGCAATTTAAAGGCGAATCAAAAAGCAGCTATCATCATCATTATCAAAATATCAATATCGTTTGTTATAGGTGTAACCTTATAAATTCTTACTTCCACTTACCAAATGAGTGTAGAAATGTAATCAGAATTAATATAGCAAACTCCATTAATAGACTTTTCGAATAGAACTATCTGAGGTTTGACTTTCATTCACAATAATAAGGTTATATATATAATCTGTTGATTGATTGAATCACATATTGTGTACTATCCTACTATCCTTACATGTATTAATCATATATGATTGTTAATTTCATTAAATTATGATTGTTTCTTACACAATTTGATTGATACATATAAGTTCATTCTGTATCAGATATTGAATTATTTCATAGAGATTTATCTTAGAAACAATGTTTACAGGGTTGAATATTTACCAACGAGAGGGGGGGGATAATTGTTTTCTCATATTATTGAATTGTAAAAATATGTTTGTTGTTCTATCAAAAGGATACTTTAACAGTCTAACCAATAAGATTTCCTCTATACTGATGAACAAAATTTGAAGAATAATATAAATACACTGAAAAAAAAAACAATTTCATTCAGTTAAATCTGTACGTGTATATGAGTTTATTTAATGTCAATATTTTAATAGTTGAATTCATGAGTCAATTAAAGTTAGACCATCATGGAAAACCTAGAAGCATCCCGACCGTTGTTGTTACCTTGACGTGGTGGTCGGACTAGCCTATCGTGATGAAGCAACCGAGCTATACTGGCTGGAACAACTGTTCCTCAAGGTCCTACCATGTCAGAGCGGTAAGACTAAAAGAAACAAACTTAAGGTCCGAAGGCGAAGTCGTACTGCTGACTATACAGAGGTGTGACAGCAGCAAGGTGTTTCCTTCAGACAACTAGCATGACGGCGATGCTGCCTTCCCACAAGGAGGGGTGGGGTTAGAACAGGTCGACTCTAAAAATGCACACCTCACCTTTCCCATGGATATCCGTCTCCGGCGGTAAGGTCTCAACAAGTACGGAGCTAACACAAAAATTACCCATAAATAGGTCGTGTGTGACTGACCTCAAGCACTTGTCCCTTTGGGCACTGAGGTCACACTCTCAGGTCACTAAAACCACTTCTAATCCAATTTCTTTTTCAGGCACTTCCACGGTGTGGGCAACCAGGAAGTGATAACCGCCCTCATACCCCTAACAGCACTCAAGACCACTGACTGACTGAGGAGCACTAGATGACCGTTTTTTCTTAGTATTGGACTCCTCAACAGTGCACCGTCCAGTGCTTCCAGGTTTTCCATGATCGTCCAACTTTAACTGACTTATGAATTCATTAGTGACTGGCTTTATGAAGTATTTCCTGGAGTTCTAATGAGAACCAGTTATCAGTGGAGTTCAACTAGGTCTGTTGTGAGATAGTAACTTATTGATGGCAATGGTGGACGTGTCGCTCGATTTCGTAGATTATTTGAAGTTAGACATTAACACCACTGGATGTCGGCTCAGTGGTCTATAGGTTATGCGTTTACGCGCGAGACCGATAAATCCTGGGTTGGAATCTCGCGAAGCGGGATCACGGATGCTCACTGATGACGAGTCACACAACAGGACGAAATGGTCATCCAATGCTTTCAGGTTTACATTTGTGGTCTAGCTTTATTCGATTCATGATTTCACTCAAAAACTTAACAGTTGCTACAATATCATACTGATGTAACCAAATTATCTGCAAGAATTTGTAATATTATTGTTGGACTTAAAACGCAAAATAACCATAAACATTTTTTCTTTGTAAAGCCTTGTTCTGAACAATTTTTAACTCATATGAATGAAAACCAATGTCTTTTTGATACCGCTGAAGATCATCTCACTTAAACATAAAGTGACCAGCTTTCGTTTCCGGTAATATCTCAATGTCTTACTAACAAATCGTGGTTAACAAAATTTTTAAATATTAGGACTGAAGTATTCAGCTCAGACGCATGTGATGAATATTATGTAACTGTTTGTTTGCTCCCAAGTAAATTAAAAGACATGGATTAGATCTGTATTTGAATCGCGGTTATTCACTTCTGAAAACCCACATAGCGTAAATCAGCTTCATAAAACAATGAAGTTTGTTGTTCCAATTTTATGGCGGAATACAACAATGATATTTGACTAAATGTTTTTAACCAGTAGTATATTTCGGAGCTAACCATTTTATCATGATTAGAAAATATTTATGACGCTCGTTATTGTGGCGGGTTATTTACCACTTCGGCTCATTTCATCTACTCAGTTGAATATGTCAAACGCTTTCCACTATGAAGTAAGCCTGTGATATGATCGTATCAATTGATATATCCTGGTTATAAAGAGAGATATCACAAGATGCCTACAGTTATTGCGGCAAATTAGATAGAAAACAATTTCAGAAATTGTGCACATCATACACATCATACTCTTGGCTACATTGTTTTATTATATTGCACTACATCTAGAAAACTTATTCTTTACAAAGGGTCAAATTGATATTAATAAATAAACTGTCTAATTATTTCGAAGATACAAGACGTATACAATCTATATATTAAATAACATTTTGTCTGTGGATTTTTGAACACAGTTTTTCACCTCTTACTTTAAATATACAGCTTTTAAAGAAAAAAAGGCATTGAAACCAGTGGGGTTCAATCCGTATCGTATAAAGACAGTTATCTACCTCACACAATAGATGAAGAGTTGTGCAAGATCATGAGTCGATTGAAGTTAGACGTTGACACCATTGGAATCCGGCTCAATGGTCTAGAGGTTAAGCGTTCGTGCACGAGACTGACGTTCTTAGGTTGGAGTCCCTTCAGTGCGGGATCGTAGATGCACACTGCTGAAGAGTCCTATATTAGGACGAGATGGTTATCCATTCCTTCCAGGTTTACAATGGTGGTCTAGCTTTAATCGTATATTATATCAGCATATTTTAAATATTCCTCCTCGATTCAAATGGGTCATATTCGTAGATAATTTGAATAGGTAATTGTTTCAAGAAACTGAATGTGTTTACATGTCCAATTTATGATTATTTTTTTTGTAAACCTTCGAATTGAATATAACAAGGTTGTCAGTGAACAATATAAACTTGTCAATGGTTTCTACCCGCTATACACAGAGATATTCCGCCAGGATATGCAACCTTCGAAATGCTAACAATAAAACACTAACATGCTCATGTTTGATAAAATGCTTGAATACAATAAATATTCAGATGACCTATATAAATTACAACATGAATGTTATTATTTCAATGAAGTTAATCCGATTTTAACTCCGCCTGGAGTCCCTAAGGGGGCTACTGCCGGTCCTAAGACCGGATAAAGGAGGAGGGTTAGGCATGGGGTTGGCGACTCCATCCCGTAGAAAACTAACTCGCTAAAAAAACGCTAACCAGAAAAAATTATTCAAACCTTTTAAACTCTGCCCTGGGAGTTAGAATGTCTTCATTTAGAAGAGTTATGACGCCTCATGATGGAAGCCGAGTTCCTTCGGAAGTCACGAGGCCGATGCTCCTTCTGACAACCAGAGCAACCATTTATTTAGGTACATGGAATGCTCGTACAATGTGAGCGACCAGGAGATTCTTCCAAATTGCTGCAGAAATGAGGAGATACAACCTAGAGGTGCTTGGGATCAGTGAAACAGGTTGGACGCAAGTTTGTCCAATAAATGGTCTTTATGTTTTAGTATAAATATAACAAACTTAAATTATAAGTGGGATAAAAATAAATTCATTAAATTATACTCTCATTTCATATTTACTCAATGTATTTACATTAACAGTTAGCATAAGCAGTCAGACAATGAAAACTTGCCTAAATGGAAACTCACATTACTCTCATATTTCATGAGTTTTTTTTTCTTTTCTTTTAAATATGTAAATAGTACTGAGCACATAACTACTCTTGTATTTGTTAATGTTCAGCAACAAAAGATGTAAAGCATATAGGTATCTAATGTTTATATGTGTAGTTCTTTGTAAACACATGATTTACAGTATGGCTTTATGATCTGATTTGTGGCACGAGTTTTATCAAGAGTTGAAATATATATTATAATAGAAAAATGTTAATTTATATCAGATGGGTTTTGTGGATATTATAGTAATTTCAATGGTTAAGATCATGAGTCAGTTGAAGCTAGACCACCAGTAGGTCCTGGGTCCGAATCTCACAGTGGGTGAGGTCATGGATGCGCACTGCTGAGGAGTCCTACAATAGGACTAAACGGCCGTCCAGTGCTTCCAGGTTTTCCATGGCGGTCTAGCTTTAACTGACTCATTATCTTAACCATTGGAATGTTAATTTGTTTTTTGGGTTACATTTGAAATAAAATATCTTCACGTATAGTCTACATCTATTATTTGTGGAAGTCACTGTATTAATTTAGTCAAACATTCTTAAGAACAAATATATTGTGCATAGATCTGGATAGCTCAGGGATAACACTCTTATTGTGAAGTTAGGTGACTGGGGATTAAATCCGTAAAGGAGCATCCGTTCCATCAAGATTACAGGTACATCTTGTTGACGAGTGCCAAATAGCACGAAACCTTAGGTACAGGGTTTCTTATTGACTACCTCTAACCGTCATCTTATCTTAACATAGTGCACTTAATGTCGAGTCACTTAAACTAGTGACCACATTACAACTTGGTCGATAGGATTCGATCTGCACTAAAAAGGACCTGACATACATGACACTGATCATTACTCAATGATCAGTCAATTATAAACATTTTTTATTTTCCTTGTACAGCCTACTGTCTAGAAGATAATCATGATATTACTTACAAATACGCAGTTTCACTGGGCTTATCACTACTTAACGGTTTAACATATTTGAAGCATTTTCTACTAACATTTAACAAAAGGTATACTTTTAAATTGAAATAGTTATTCTGAATTGTAAGCAGTTGAAATGATGATTAAAACAAAAGTTAGAAATGAAGACACTATCATAATAAGTTTTTGAAAAAACTGATGTTGCCATGCAAGATGTCACCATTCGCTGTCAATTCAAAAGAAAAATATATTTCGGCGGTAGTTGGTGTTTTTCGTGTTGTATTTAAGATTCTTGGTTTTTCCCTTGTTTATGTTGAGGCCTAATGATGCAAAGGCTGCTACTACAGT